CGTGTGTGTGTGTGTGTGTGTGTGTGTGTGTGTATCGAGAGAGAGAGAGAGAGAGAGAGAGAGAGAGAGAGAGAGAGAGAGAGAGAATGTGTGTATCCTGTGAATGTGTTTGTGTGGAAGACAGAGGTCAATGTTGGGTCTTTGTCTGAATTTAGAGTTCACTGATTGGCTAGAATGGTTAGCCAGAAAGCCTCCAAAAGCTTCCTGTCACTGCCTGCTTCCTAGTATTGAGATTACAGACTGTAGGCAATGACACTGCCAACAGCTGAAACTCACAGGAATACACAAACAGCCTAAGAGATGATAAATAGGCAGAAAGCAATGAAAGAACACATAAATGTATTCCATTATTTTTCTTCTGGTAATTTTCCCAACAGTCAGTAGATTTCATAAACAACAATTATGGTGCTATATGTTGGGTTTATAGTGTAGACATGTAATCTATATGGAACCTACAGCAGAAGCGAGGAAGAAACAATGGAACTAACTGTAGCTTAATTGCTGTATTTTACTATAATTAAGTTAGCATTAACCATACTTAATTTCAAGGGTGTTGTGATGGTTAAAGATGCATTTTGTAATCCACAGAGCAAGTAAATAACTCATGATTCCACTGTTAGTTAATTGAAAGGAAGAATTAAAGACAAGAAATTAAAAGTAATAGAAAAATTAAGGGAAAAATACTTAAAACAAAAGAAGGACATAAAAGGGAAATAGATGCTTGCATGCAAAGGAAATACAAGGCAAGACAAAGACGTTAAAATAAAAAAGCTTGGCCATTATGTTAAATTTGGATGTGCCATTAAGCCAATAATTAGGCAAAGATTACTGTACTGTGATAGTTTGGAGAAAAATGGGACCCATGGGCTCATATATTTAAATGTTTGGTTCCCAGTTGGTGGACTATTTTGGAAGGATTAGTAGGTGTGGCCTTGTTGGAGGAGGTGAGTCACTAAAATTTCAAAACCCAAGACAGATCAGATCTTCTCACTCTCTGCCTCTATCTTGCTAGTAAGATGTAAGCTCTCAGCTACTGCTCCAGTGCCTTGTTGGCTTGCCTGCTGCCATGCTCTCTGCCATGATGGTCATGGACCAACCCTCTGAAACTCTAAGCAAGGCCCCATTTGAATGTTTCCTTTCATTCATTGCCTTGATGATGTCTCTCCACAGCAAAAGAACAGTAACTAAGACAATAAGCATATTGGAATTTTTTTTTTAAGCAAGATATAACTCTATGCTACCTGTGAGCAGCACATTTCATGTCTAAAAACAAAGTAATGGGATGGAAATAGATACAGTAGGTAACCACATGCAAGCTAGAACAACTCTATCATTATTAGCCAAAACCAATTTTAAGTGTTATTACAGAACAAGGAATTTCTATAATGAAAAAGGGCCTACGTACCCAGCGGGTATTATCAGTCAAATGCACACTCACTTTTTACAAAGCTCCCAAACACATTTACCTGAGACAGACCTAAGAGAAGAAACAGAATTCAGTAACCACAGTTGGGGGTTTTAGTACTATACTTAAGACTACTTGAATAAACAGCTGGACAGAATTGTAATGATCTGAATTTGTTCTCTAGAGTTTTGTGTATCAGAGGCCTGATTCCTGGAGACAGTGCTCACATGATGAAAGTTTTAAGCGATAGTTCTAGTGAAGGTGGTTGGTTTAGTTCAGGTAAGTATGGGCTGCTGGAAAGGTGCCTAGAACACGTCCCGAATCCCTATTCTGTACATATTTGCCACTGCTGCGTGCACACAGGGACGACTACTGGACAGCTGGAGCTTTCTTCAGTTTGTCCGTGAGATTTACCCAGCCTGGGTAATATTGTTGCATTTTAACCAAAGAATTGAAAAGTTAAAAGCAGATTGGGCTTGAGCAGACTTTAGAAACCACAGCTGCATGCTGTGGATCACATGTACAATTGGCCTAAGATTACCACAGAACAGGAAAATCCCTCTTACTTACCGACATAGCTGTCATAATAAATAACACAGTGTGTGACTCACATGATTGTGATGATGCTGGTAGAAACCTCTAGTCATTTAGTTATGTGTACATCTAGTTATGTGCAGCTGGCCAGTGACTGTTACTGGTTTAAGCATTTACCATACCTTTATAGCTGTTCTAGAGTGAA